GAAGAAGAAGAAAGCTCTGTTTGTAGGAATAAATCCAAAACATTTTATAAAGTAAACCCATATAGAGAAGATAATGGGAAATTCAAAGGGAAAAGAAAATTAATAAAATCTATGTTTATATGTGAATAAAATATTTCTGTAAATATTTAAAATACACTGAAAACATCATTTGATCCAGGGGGGAAAAAAACGTACTAGATAGTATGGGACAAACTGGGAGGGAGTCATTTCCCTGTATATAATTTAGTATATTTTAAATATGTGAATCCATCCTTATTCAAATAACAATAAAAACACCACAATAAATGTGTGTTTTTTTTAAATATGTACTAGTGCTAAAAACTAAGGACCTGCTGACACAGCCTTTAAAAAATAGGTGTTAAGAAATAAACCTTTCACAATTTAATGCCTACAGATTTACATGCATCTGCACATATTTTCTTTTTTGTTTCTGATAAGACTGAGGAAGCACCTCTCTTTCAAACACAGAATACTTTCTACACATCCACAGGTAGATAGGACCTCTGACGCCTCATTGTCGCAAATACTTTGATTCTGTTTCTCCCACACCACACAACTCCCCTGGCTTCACTGAATGCAAATCAGTACCAAAAGCTCTCTGGCAATGAGCTCAAACCCTAAAGTAAAACAAATTATTGTAAAACAGTATTACAAAACCAAAAATCTTGATATAGAGAAGATAATGGGAAATTCGAGGGGAAAAGAAAATTAATAAAATCTATGTTTATATGTGAATAAAATATTTCTAGTGCGTGTTGTGTGGTGTGGGAGAAACAGAATCAAAGTATTTGCGACAGTGAGGCGTGAGAGTTCCCATCTACCTGTGGATGTGTAGAAAGTATTCTGTGTTTGAAAGAGAGGTGCTTCCTCAGTCTTATCAGAAACAAAAAAGAAAATGTGTGCAGATGCATGTAAATCTGTAGGCATTAAATTGTGAAAGGTTTATTTCTTAACACCTATTTTATAAAGGCTGTGTCAGCAGGTCCTTAGTTTTTAAATATCAAGAAAATGACTCCCATCATTTTCTCCTAGAACATGTCTTCTATTTCCTTCACTCCCCTAATTGTTCTACTATGAATTGCAACCCCAAACTATCAAAATTTAATAGTCCTTTTCCTGTGAATATCACAGTCAACTTCTCTGCAGAATGGACACAGTCAACATTTTTCTCCATGTTAACATTTCTCTCTTGGCTTTGCTTTCACCATAGACTCCTGGTTTTTTTCTAATTCATGAGTTGCTCCTTCTGTTTCCTTTGTAGGCTCTTCCACTAAGCACTGCAGTTTCCCAGGGATTTGTTCTTTTCTTTGTTTTCAGTCTCTCCCTCATCCATTTCCACAAATTTCATATACTGGAAATCTCACTGGCCTTTTACAACTTAGCAATGTTTCAATTTCAAATGAGACTTATTGTTCTCACTTCCAGGCTTAGAGAAGTGATTCTTAAAATGGAGTCACAACCTGCCAACGTGACTAATACAATGAGTTGAAAATCATTGTAGACTGTTATCTCCCCTTGGTTCTCCATGTGAAATTAATCAGTGGGCCTTGTTTCTACTTTTAGGGTGTATTACCGATGATCCACTTCTCTCCATCTACAACACCTATCCTAGTCTAGGCCACACTCTAGTTCATTTGTCCCCCTGCTCATATGATCTCCTTATTCAGGGCCTTCACACATGTTTCCTCTGCCTCCTCTGCCTCACTCTTCTTCCTTGACTTTACCTTATAACCTCCATTTAATCCTCCATGTGCATGCCTTGATATCATACCCTTATGAGGTCTGACAGCTCTATCAGTTAAGGTAGCATACCAATTCCATCTTGGTCACATAGTGATTGCATAGTGTATTTATATACCTATTCCTTAATTAAAAAAAAAAAAACTGCACATATTAGATTTTACCCTCCATAAAAGAAAAATGGATGTCTCCTTTATTAACTCATGCCATTCTTACAACTATGACCATATTACAGGTAAACAATAGCTGAATGGATGAATGAATGAAAACATACACACACACATACATGCATGTATATATACATAAATAAATATAATACCATTACTACTCCCAAGAATTTGTGTGTGTGTCAATTAAGAGCTCAATGCAAAAGATATTACATGTTTTTAAATGGAGTTTACTAAAAATATAAAGCTGTCTTTTTATAATTTAATATTTTTCTTTTGTCACTTATTTTTTGCAATTCCACATTAAATTATAAATGCTGTAGATGAAAAAAAATACTATTTTAGGTCCCTCCAAGTAAATAATTTAAAATCAATTCTAAATTTCACTAACTGAAGAAAATGCAGTGTGGACTCATTATGTGGACTGCACATGATTTAGAAGATTTATACATTTTAGTAACTAAATTGACAGACTTAAAATGAGTAGAGAAAATGTAAAACTCAAACCATTTTTATTTTGTAGACTTATAGGTGTCCCTATATTTCAAGAGCCCAGATCTGCACTCAAATGATGTATTCATAGGAACTAGGATAGTAGCCAATTGCTGATAAAGATAAGTGGCAATATTTGTGATTTATTAACCTGTCTTCACCAAGTTCTTTCCTGAGGTAATTGTCCAATGAAAATAAATAGAGCCCTTGTTAACAAGCTAGAGTGATACAACTACATAAAGTGAAATTGCATTCTAAAAAGACAATCATTAACTTTCAGACTGTTTTTCCATAGAGAATTAAGTCTATTCTCAGCAGAGTAAAATATAGCAATAGAATAGTAGAAAAGAGACCATACATATGACCATTAATTCCATTCTTGCCAATTTTGCTTTTGCCAACTATACTGTTATGTTACATAACATAGCCCAAAATTGCATGAAAATAGACTATTCAATTTTTCAAATATTTTATACTTAGATGCATATTGTCTCTATATGGAATTATATGGCTATATATCCATTGAATTAACCTGAGACTATAGTATATTTTATTCTTAATTTGGAATTACCACAATAGCTAGCACATTGCCTTACTCATAGTGAGTACTCAAAAGATATGCACTAAGTTGAGAATATTTTTTCCCATTTACTTGAATGTAATATAGAGTAATAGGAAGAAAAAACAATGCATTACAGAGATATTTATAATGCAATGATGATTTCTCAGAAAATTTGAGAAAACCTAAGAAATAATATGTCTCTTTGGCACTATGCTAATTAGTATTCAATGATATTTTAAAAAATAATTCAAGCTAACTAAAACAGCTGTATATATTAGAAAATGATACTTCTTATAAATCTAATACAACAAATACATTTAAATTCCTCTTTAATTACCATTATGTTCATATATTGTCAATAAAATGTATTCATCTTTTGCTTGATAATTCACTAGATTAAAGAACAAGGTTATATGGGCTTTTCAGGATCCATTAAGATCTGAGGGTGATTGATCACCGAGGTCTAGAACATGGAAAGCAACACAAAGAACACACAGAACTTTTAGTATATGTAGAAAAAGATTTTCCTAAAACAGTATTTTCATTCTGCACACTATAGAAATGGATTACTAAAGTATTTTTTGTAAAATTAACTTTTACCATCCTCTGAAAGTACTTTTCTACAAACAGAAAATAAATCTCTAAAAAAAAAGCAAGTATATAATTTGATAAGCTATATATTTAGATTCCAATACAAGTAGCTCTCCATCCCCCCTGAAGCTGTAAAATTTAATCAGCTTCAGAACTGGTCAAAAATCACTGTTAAAATTGTAAGTATAAAACACTCTGTACTACATTTATTTAAAAATTCTGTGAATTTTTTGTTTGTCACTTGTCAACATTATCCCTTTAAAAAAAATTCTTGGTAGAAGGATCAATAAGATAGATGTTACAGCCGAAACTGGTTTGGCTCAGTGGATAAAGCCTTGGCCTGGGGACTGAAGGGTCCCGGGTTCGATTCCAGTCAAGGGCATGTACCTTGGTTGCGGGCACATCCCCAGTAAGGGGTGTGCAAGAGCAACTGATTGATGTTGAAATGTTTCTGACTCTCTATCCCTCTCTCTTCCTCTCTCTGAAAAATCAATAAAATATATATTAAAAAAAAAAAAGATAGATGTTACAAACAATATAAAGAATTTCTAATTGTCACATCAGCAGAAACTGGATGCACAAGAAAGATGTGCAATAATTCCTAAATTGTACAGATGACACAGACATGTAAGACTTTTCCTATTCAATAAACGAGGCATGTGGCCCACCAGCTGCAAATTTGACATGCTTATAGCCATTTTATCATTTCTAAATATTAAGTATGGCTTATAAGATACACATTATAGTATCTTTGTTAAAATTTTTTTATATACATTTTAATGAGTTTCTACAGAGAGGAGGAGAGAGGGATAGAGAGCTAGAAATGTCGATGAGAGAGAAACATCAACCAGCTGCCTCCTGCACGCCCCCCACCGGGGAAGTGCCCACAACCAATGTACATGCCCTTGATCGGAATCGAACCCGGGACCCTTCAGTCCGCAGACCAACGCTCTACCACTGAGCCAAACCGGTTTCGGCTATCTTTGTTAAATTTTTGTTAAAAAAATGTTTGTCCCCTCCAGCAATGTTGTTTTATAATAAGAAGTCTTTAATTTTTTTTTCTTTTTAAAAATATGTATTTTTATTGATTTCAGAGAGGAAGGAGATAAAGAGAAACACCAATGTGAAGAGAGAATCATTGGTCAGCTGCCTCCTGCACATCCCCCATGGGGGGATCAAGCCCAGAATCTAGCATGTGCCCTCACCAGAAATGGAAACATGGCCTCCCAGTTCATAAGTCCAGGATCAACCACAGAGCATGCCAGCTGGGCTAATTTTTGTCTTTAATAATCAAGCTTTTAGTTCATTGCATAGAAACACCTACTTCGTGATTTTATACCTGAGTTAGGAAATATTTGGTCAGAAGAAAACAGGTAATTGGGATCTAGGAGCCAAGGATAGACAGGATTATCTATATTCAAGTTCAGACAGATCACGAGAATTCTCCTTTAATATTACACAGTGTTTTACAAAGTACCAAACTTTAAAAAGATATTAGCTTGTGATAACATGTAATAAATAACTTCAAAATGCAATGGGTATTTAATTTTAATGCCTTTAACTTTTTTTTTCAATTTTTTAAACCATTTACATTTAATGTTATTAATGATAGGTACTCATTTGATGCCATTTTTATTCTATACCCCTGTGTTCCCTCTTCGCTTCCTATTTCTTTATTTTTACAGTAGACCCTTTAGCATTTCTTGCATTGCTGGTTTGGTGGAGATAAATTCCTTTAGTCTTTTTTTGTCTGTGAAGCTCCTGATTTCCCCTTCAATTTTGATTGATAGTCTTGCTGGGTACAGTATTCTTGGATTCAGACCCTTTCTTTGCATGACTTTGTATATTTCATCCCATTCCCTTCTGGCCTGATAAGTTTCTGTTGAGAAATCAGTTGTTAGTCTGATGGGGGTTCCTTTATATGTAACTTTCTGTCTCTCTCTGGCTGCTTTTAAGATTCTAACTTTGTCATTGGTGTTTGCCAATTTAATTATAATATGTCTTGGCGTTGGTCTTCTGGGATCCATTTTGCTTGGGACTCTGCGAGCATCTTGGATTTGTGTGGGTTTTTTCTTCTCTATCTCAGGAAAATTTTCTGTCATTATTTCTTGAAATATGTTTTCCATATCTACCTCGGTTTTCTTTCCTTCCGGAACCCCTATTATTCGAATATTGTTTTGTTTTGCATTGTCCCAAAGCTCCCGTAGGCTCTCCTCCTGCTTTTTAATTTTTTTTTCTAGAAGCTGCTCTAATTGGGTATTTTTTTCCATCTTGTCTTCTAGCTCACTGATGCGATCCTCTGCTTCTTCTAGTCTGCTCTTGATGCTTTCTATTGAGTTCTTCATAGTAGCGATGTCATTTTTCATTTCATCTTGAGTCATCTTCATTTCCTCTTGGGTTTTTTTCATTTCCTCTTGGGTCTTACTCATATTGTCAAATTTGTCTTCCATTCTTTTTAGCCATCTTAAGATCGTTACTCTGAATTCTTGCTCTGGTAGGTTGCTTACCTCTATATCGTTTACTTCCTTTTCTGGTGAAGCCTGTTTTTCTTTCATATGTGGGCTGTTTTTTGGTCTCCCCATGATCTAGGATGTCTGGTTGTGTAGTTCTCTCTCTCCTGCTTTGATTTAAAGGCACAAAATACAACACAACCAGGTACAACACACAAGGCACTGAATAGAAATGTGTTTGCGATATTAATAACCACCAATAAGGGTGACTAGAACCCAGCTAACAAAAACATACAATCAAACAAAAAGCATAGGCAAATCAATCTTATAAAAGAAAAGCATACAACTTCAGTAAAGTTAACATTCAACATACAACTTCAAAGAGTTAGAGAGAAAGACTGTTTTGGTTTTTTTTTGTTTTGTTTTGTTTTTAGGACAACTGCGAGGGAGGTGTGAATGGGTTTGGAGCAGGTAGTTGGAAATTAGATATATACAAGTAGGGTGAAATTTTAGGAGGGGGTAGACAGAAGGAATGGGGGAAATCTAGAGCAGGAAAGGGTTAAGATAAACAGGGTATCAAAGGAAAAGATTGGAAAGAGGGTGAAGGCCTAAAGGTAGGGTTGAGATAGAATAAAGCATTGGAGAAAGAAGGATAGATAAAGACTGTAGAATAGTAATCCTGAAATTAAAAAAAAAAAATATATATATATATATATATATATATATATATATATATGTGTGTGTGTGTGTGTGTGTGTGTATATATATATATATATATATATATAATCAAATGAAATAAAAATAATAAAAATAAACAAAAGAAAATAAGATGAAAAAGGTAAATTAGTAGTAGTAATAATGTTGATTACATATACAATGTAATAATTATCAAGATAAAATCAAGTGAGGAAAAAGAAAAAAAAATAGTTTCTTGAGTAAACGTTGCAAATAATGAAAACCAAAATTTAAAAATTTTAAAAAATAATAATAAAATTTAAAAAATTTAATTAAAATTTGCAGTAATGAAGGTCATTTGCTTCCTCTATTGTTATGATCCAATCCTGATTTTTAGGCAGGTTTTGCTTTGTTTTTACTACACTAGAGTCAATTTGTGAATTAGCCTCTGGGGGCAGTGTTTCTAGGTTGACTTCCAGACTCTGGAGCCTCTCCAGCTTTTTTTTTTTTTTTTTTTTTTTTTTTTTTTTTTTTGTCCTCTCTGAAGCTGGAACTACGGAGGGGGGGAGGGGGCAGGTCCGAGCAACTGGAATCTCCTGCAACTCTCCGATATCCCTCTGAGCCGGATCCAAATGTGTTGCTCTTTAGATATCTCCCCTGTTAGGAGCCCCGTCCACTTTCAAGGGTGACAACAGCCCAACAGCGGGGGCTTCTACTTGTAATCACCGCCCTTGTCCTCCAGCTTCCGTGTGGGCTTTGTGCGCGCAGGCTTTTCGTTTTCGCTGCGAGCGCTCTCCACCCTCTCCCCGCGAAATCTGACCTTTTCGCTGAGCAGTGGGGCAATCCTGTGAGGGGAGGTGTTCGCGCCGCCTGGGATCTGCGTTCTGGGGGTCACAGATGCTTGGTGGTCGCTGCGGCTGTGGATATTCAGGCCTCTGACATGATCCTATCTTCCTCTCAAAATGGCGAGGTTTCCCTGTCCAAGCCAGTAGGTAGCGCCGGGCAGGAACACAGCCCTCGTGGGTGCTTCCCTGTGAGGGGCACCTCTGTCAGCAGCCCCCCAGCAGTTTCTTTCTGGTGTTCACTGTCTCCCAGCTTGCCGATAAACACTCACAGCACAAGACCCTCAGTTGCTCTCTCTTTCTGCTTTGGGAGAGGGCTCAGAATCCGCCCATCTATTCTTCCGCCATCTTACCTCCTCCTTTTTTTCAATTTTTTAAATTAAGGTATTACATATGTGTCCATAATCCCCTCACTGCTCCCCCTTTACTCCCAAACATGCCCTCACCCCCCAGTGTCTTGCGTCCATTGGTTATGCTTATATTTATGTAAAACACCTTTTCTACTCGTGCACTATAAACTTATCTGACCACTGGGTAAAGCTAGCAATGTGTTAAAAGTGACATGTTTTAGCTTCCAGATGAAGCCCAGAGCATAATATTCTTTATAATGACAATTTTATTATTTTACTTACTAGCTTTTTGAGCCCACTACTGAGACTAGGAATGACAATAGATAAACTCCGGCCTATTTTTTCTCACAGGATTGCTTAGGATGGTTTGAAACCAAGGAGCTATGATGAAAATTCAACATGGGAAACAGCATCAAAGTAGGAATGCCCTTCCAAAATGCCTGCAATCATCAGCTGACTCAAATGAAGACTTAGTGTGACCAAGAGAAGTGTCAACATGTCAAATTTTCTGGAGTCGTCATTTTGGAAACATGAAGGTTATAGTGGAAACTTGCATTTGTGTCAAACTCTTCTGTGAAAATGGAATGACACTACATTGTATTACACATCTCCCTTTTTAAAAAAAAAAGCTCCCGTGTCCATTTGTACTCATGTCTCTGTTTTAAGAAAAACATTCAGAACTTAATGGTGTGCTCAATATTAGAATTTTATGAATGAAAAGACACCTACAATAATCATACTCCTTGAAAACCATTCTACAAAGCTATGCAGTTTTAATGTGGTCTATAAATATTAAATAATCATAACCACATGTTTCTGGCCATCAGATTAACCACAAGACTATATAAGCCAGTGAAAAGATAGATTTTATTTTCATGTTAAAAAGAATGTAGACAATCTTTTTAGAGTGAGATTTATTTATTCTATGAAGCTAACTGAAAAAAATAGATATTTCTCTCTCAATGGAAAATGTTAACCTTATAAACACCAGAATAAAAAATAATTATATCTTGGTTTAGTACATTTGTGCAAAATAAATGGATACAGTTTAAGCTGACATTATATTCCCTTCCCCCAAGCTCTAAATATATCTTTCTCCTTTTTTCAACAACTGTGCATCAAAATATATGAAATTTTGAATCACAGAGAAATGAAATTTCACTTCAAAATTAATTTTTCCAAATTCTCCAAAATTTATAAAACTATTATTCCTATCGATCTCACTGATTCAATGCCACAGTAAAATGCTGGGAAGCAAAACATTTCAGAGTCAAGTTTTTACCCTGCTGACTTGCTCAAGAATGTCTTTTTTCTCTTGTTTTACACAGTTATCTTGTGGTCATACAGAAGATATGGTGCTTGTGTGACAGAAAAGGACATGCCACATTCAGATGAGGTCCCTACTAGATAAGCTATGTAAACTCCTTATCCACTCTCCTTTTGTTTTTAACTAAAGTAAAATGTGATGAGATATTTACTATGACTCCATCATATACTTCCATAATTTTCCACCATTAAAGCCATTCTCAAACACTACTGATAGTAAATTTTAATATACCAAGCTTATTTTTCTTCCATATAATAGTCAGATGAGACTGTTTCTTGGATGACCTTTCACATGATAATTCAAGTGACAAAGTTCCTTGTATCTTGTGGGTCCACTATGCCCTTCGCCTTAGAATTATGTGCTAATCACTCATGGGTAGGTAACAAGGAGGCAGTCATGCCATTTCTTTACCATCTAGACTCTGAACTGACTCTGGTGGGAGACACAATATCTAGCTGCATGATTTCACAAAGCAAGAGCTGAAGGGATGCTGAAAACTGTTGTTCCTGACTGACCAGCAGCCATGTGCCAGCAACAAATCTCTGTGCAATGGAACCAGGATTTGTTGTATAGCCAGCTGTCTCTGCGCTTAGATGATTATGAACGAATATAAATTACATATTCAAAATCACAATGTGAATAGAGAATTGAATAAGAAGCATTGAGTTTCATAATTTGGTACTAAATAGGTCCAACATTAAAATTGTAAAGTACTTAATGTATATATTTTAAATCTAGAAGAACTAAATAAAAGCAGGCCAAAAAAAGGAAAGAGCATTTACTTACATATAGCAGCAGCACATGACTTTAAGTATCCTAATTATTTAGCTACATCAATCAGTGACAGAATGAAGGCTTTCTACAAAGCTGAAAAATTAATATGCTCCAGCCCTGAAGTCCATTATGCGGAAAT